CCGTGACACTACCTATGTCACCGCTTCGTGGCCCACGTGGCACACCCCCTTTTGTTCTCTGCACATTGTCCCCAGGCTTGCTGAAATGGGTTCAAGCATTCCTTGCCTCCTGCAGCCCACCAGGCAGATTAGTTTTATCAGGGTAATTCATCAGCAAAAGCAAACCCACCCAGGCAGCTGGTTAAGCCTCTCTTAGGTGTTTCATTTCTGGGAGGTTTATACTGGCTTAACAAGAAGGTTAGCAGTAATTAAATCCAACTTTTCTCATGCAAACAGTGAGGGAACCGGGGAGGGCCAGGGCTTGGGCCAGAGCCGAGCTCTTGCGGCTGCAGCGCAGCACACGGGGCTGTGCCAGGAACGAGGACCTGGAGCGGTGGCAGGAGGCCCTGCGTGCCCGCAAGGTGCAAACGGCATCATGATACTTACTGGAACAAAAGAGCGAAACAACCGACCCAGAGAGGCATTTCCTGGGAGAGGGAGGAAAAGGGCTGGATTTGGCGGGGGAGAGGCTCTGGCTCCCCGGCCAGGCACGGCAGGCTCCCGCGCAGGGCGAGGGGCGCGGCGGCCACCGGCGGTGGGGCGCGGCGCCCACCCCGGCACAGCCCCACCGCTCACCTGCCCGGCTCGGGCATCTGGAGGCTGCCGTTGCTCAGCACGACCTCGCGGGGAGGCAGAGGCTGCCCTGCACCCACCTCCACCGCCCGGAAAGTGGGGGTGCTGAAAGACACGGGGGGCACGGGTCAGGAAGCGCACCCTGGGGTGCGCAGCCCCAGGCACGCTACCAACAGGGCACAGATGCTGGGAGAGGACAGGCGCTGGTGCCTGAGCACCTCCAGGAGCCTGGAAACTTGACGGTTTTGGCTCAGACTGAGCCAAAGATGGTATAACCCCGTTCTAAAACTTTAGGGACTGAAGCTTTACAAATAGGTCCTAAATGTTTGCCCATGGCCCCAACAAAGAGCTGGTGAGACAGGGAGAAAGCAGGAGCTTAGGAAGGGAATGTGGACCCTGTGCCAGTGAGCGAAAGACCCCATAGAAAAAGGGGGTTCCTTGGGACAGGGATGCCAAAAGAGGGAAGTGCCACAGCCCTGAAGGGCCGGGGGCAGGCTGGGGCGACTGGCCACTGAGCTCAGGACCAGGGATAGGAGCGTATTGAAGGAAGGGAGACTACTCCCTGCTATTCAGGGAGGCGTGGGGCAGGTAGCTCCCAGGGGACCTCAGGGCTGTCCCTGCTGTCGTGACATCTGGGGCCCGTGCTCAAAGCCTCAGCCCCTGATTTTTTGGAACTGGAAAAGACCATCTTGGGCTCAGTTAGGCTCCTAGAGGGGCTCAAACAGCAGAACCCATCTTCTCCCTAGTATACCCCTAACTTAACCCAAACTCTCCCTTAATCCAGGGCTGATACCAAACCCGCAGGGCTAACAAGCTATTTCCCCACATCTCAGCTTTAACCAGCTTTAGCTGAATGCAGCGCTGCAAACTGGCCGCTAGCTCAGGGCAGGGCAGCACACGAGGTGGACACAGGTGGGTGACATGGAGCTTCGTCACAGCTGCAAGGACCCAGCCCTGCCCACACTTGTGTAGCACCCACAGCCCTGGCCCAGCATCACACCTCCGGCCAACTGCTGCTCTCCTGGGGCTTTAAAAGGGGATTGTGGTGCCACATACCCTTCCCCAGGAGAGCTCCACTGACAGTGAGGACCCAGGCTGAGCTCTGCACGTGCCTCAGGAGGGGCTGCTCTGGTGAGGTGAGCGCACGCATGCTGTTGGGAGCTGTAGGGCAGCCCCGCTGCGTGGGTGACTGCAAGTAGGTGGGGGTGAGGTGAGGGGCAGGAGCAGGGCGAGATGCCCGTGGGCTGGGGACAGAGCAGGGGACACTGTGCTTACATGGGAAGCTGCCAGGGCTTCGAGCACAGAGAGCAGCCAGCTCCTAGGGACACACAGAGTACTCTGCGTGGTGGGGATGGACTGAAACCATTAGTGCAGAGCTCTGAGAGCTTTGTAAGTAAACAAAGCCCCACTCAAAAAGAGCATTAATGGGAGAGGGATAGATAAAGCAGGCGGGAGAGGTGTGGAGAAAGCAGTCATGTACCTCCTGTAGCCCATTTGCTCACAGGCTGCTTTTGCCAGCACCAGGTCAAAGTGGTCGTGGCAGATGCAGGACCAGGCTCCGGTGTTTCTGTTAAGCACCTGCAGGATGGATCTGTCTTTGGAAACGCGGGCTGGAGGCAGACAGAAAGTCAGCTTTGTCATGGGTGACTTTAGGAGGCGGAGGCTTGCCACAGCAGCCCAGCCCCTCCAGAGCTCTAGCAGGGTGTCCTGGACTCACCCCCAGCTGGTGGCCCCTCAGGGACCCACTGGGGACAGCTGGCCTCATCCTCGCCCTCCAGACAGTCCACCTGCCCGTCACACACCTGCTTCAGTGACACCAGCTTCAGGGGCTGTTTGCAGAAGAAGTAGTGGTAGTCCAGGTAAACCTTGACTAGAGGGAAAGGGGGAGCTCAGCGCTGAGCTCGTGGTGCTGGGCAGGCTCGGGGCTTGCGCTTGGGGGCTCAGCAAGAAGGCGGCAGAGCCGGTCCCGGCTGAGCCCTGGGTCCAGAGCTGCGTTTGCCGAGACGTGGCTGTGCAAAAGGAGGGGGAGAGGAGAGCAGGAGCCATACCCAGGAACCCGACCGTAGCCAGGCAGGCGAGGCTGAGCACCGCTGCCAGGATGGGGAGGCCAATCCGCTTGAAGGAGTCCAGTGCTGTGGAGGCTTTGTGTCTTGTGCTGGGACCTGCAACGCAGAGGAGCATGGCCCGGCGTCGCCAGGCCCAGCCTGGCAGCACCCGCGCCCCCAGCTCCTGTGGGTATTACCTCCGCCATTCAGCTGCTCGGAGGCTAAATCCTGCAAACCAGAGGGGAAAACCAGTTACCGAGCTGAAACTTCAGCCAAAAAGCAGCTGGCAGGTGGGAAGGGTCTATAGCAGCGTGGCTAGCTGGCCCCGTGGCGATTCCCATGCTAAGTGCAGAGCTAACATGATCAGCCGCCCCCAGGAGGGCAGCCCAGAGAAAGCGGAAGATCAGCTAAGCCTGGGCAGGCACAGAGGCTGCTGTCTCTTTGGCTTGCTCGGGGCCCACCGGGAGGGATTAGCAGGGAAACTGCCCCAACTGACAGCTGAGGTTGCTTTAGAGCTGCTGGGGATGGAGGTGGCAGCAGGGGGGTGGCACGTCCTGGTGCCATAACACTTGGCTCTGCTCTCACCCGGGGTCGCTGGCTGTGTTGTTCCTGTGGACACCACCTGTGCAATTCCAGTAACCAGCTATTAATGTTATAGAGTTACTGCTGTTAGTGCACCAGAGGCTTTAAAAGTCATAGGAATTATGAAAGAGGCACTTTCTGATGTGCCAAGAAACCCTGAGTCAAAATACATGTGCCTGCAGGGCTGTGCCGCCCAGACATGTCACGACAGCGGTTATATTCTTCGGCTGACCCAGCGCGGGGTCAGAAACCGACTGGCACAGCCCGAGTCCTCCCCGACAGACTGGCAGAGTCACTGGAGAAACCAGCCCGGCCCATGGGAACAAGTGCTCTCAGGGCGGGGAGGGAGGGGCTGTGCCGCTGCTAGGACACACAGCAAACACAGCCCCGGCAGTAGTCAGCGCTGGAGCAAGTGATGAATTGATCCCACTTGACCTCTTCAAAATTATTTTCCTGTAATAGCTTCTCGTATGAGAGATGCCCAACTGCAGTAGGAAAAGTCCGTGAGCTGCACCAGCCATCTGTTGCTGAAGGAGCTGCCCCGGTCCTCAGTGGGTGGGTTGGTGCTGGGCAAAGATCAGAGCCCCTTTGGGGGGGGTTCAGGTGGACACTGTACGTTTCTATTGCCCTGTTTTGCAGCCATGCTTGCGCCACGCTGTTGAGAGCTTCATTCCGGCAGCTTGCGGTTTGAAAGCGTGCTCCTGCCCTGCTGAGGTTGTGGAAAGCAGCACGCTTGCTTTTCCCTTGAATGCCCTTCCAGCCCCGAGCGAGCTCTTTTCCTTTGCTGTTGCTTCTGGACTCCACCACAACAGGTAAGACTTGAGCTTTTTTGCAGGGCCTGTACCCAGCGTGAGCAATGGGCACTGCAAGAAACCCACAGATCCAGGAGCACGGTTCAGGAGAGTTTGGGGTTTAGAAGCCTTTGCTCATTTGGCTGCTGAGCTTTGGGAGCAGCACGCTTTTCCCTGGGCATCAGAGGGCTGGAGGTGATCGCATTTGTTGTCCCAAATGAGAGCAGAGGCCCCTGTGCAATCTCAGGGCTCGGAGGTTGGGGCTTTGAAGAACAGCGGTGCGGTGAGACCAGGGATGCGGTAAGGCTGTAACGGGGCCGCGCTCCAGCCCGAGGCTGGTAGGAGGGAGTGGTGGAGCCCTCCCTCTCTGGGTCACTGTGTTTGGGCATGTTTAGCCATGCACAAAGACTCTGCCAGCAGGATTTTACAGGCAAGTGCCAAACAATTATTTGTGGGTTAACACACAAAGATAGCTTGGATTTAATGTGCTGCTAGCTCAGCTGTCGCTGCCCCTCGCCCAGCCAGGAAACGTTGCCTCCCCATCATGGCCCTGCTGCATGGCTTGGGCTGCCAGTTTCGGCTGCTCCCCAGCCCGGGAACAAGAAGTGACCTCTGCAGGGGAGGACCGGATCCTGCCCGGTGCTGGCGGGGCTGTGGGCACGTGCCTGTGCCCCAGCATGCAGCCGTCTGGCTGTTTTGAGGAAACGCCAGGGGCCTTTCTCCGAACAGCCGGGCTCGTCTGGCACTGATGCCGAGCCTGGGCAAGTTGTGGGGAGCACCCGGCCCCTGGATGGGCTCTGCACAGCCCCTCGGGTCTTTTTGGCTCCCGTGAGGGCACTGCAGTGCTACCAGGGGATCCCAGCTCCAGATCAGCTCCCGGGGGCACGGAGCCCGGCTCCTGGAGCCAGGGAGTCAGGGACCTGCTGGGAGCAGGAGGGCAGGGGGGGAAGGGGAGCGTGTCTCCTGGACCTCCCGTCTCGGCTGCCCTCCCCAAGCCTCTTATCTGCGGCTCCCGGTGCCGGCAGGAGCCCCGAGAGTTTTGTAATGCCAGCTCAGCTGGCTCCCAAACACCACCTACGTCCTCCAGCACAGCCAGCCGAGGGCACGTGGGGCCGGTCCTTCCTCATGCTGACCTCTTGTGTCACCGTGGGCCTGGGCCGGGCATGACCTGGATAATGGGATCCTAACGGTTCCCTGTGGGAACGGTCCCAGGGCCCTGGCCGCAACAGCTCCCCCAGGCTGCGTGGCACGGCCGGGGCTCTGCAGCTGAGGGGCACTGCAGCTGCCCCTGCCTGCCCACAACCTGCCCATGCTTGTGCCCGTCGTGTCGTCTGGTGTCGGGCTCCTTTCTGACAACCCTGTGCAGGTCTGGTGTGGACGCAGGTGGGAGGGATGATGCTGCGGTGCTGGCTGCCTTCCCACACAGAGAAGGTATTGCCCACTGTTGAAATTTTTTTTTTTTCATTTTCTTCAGTCCATGAACCTCCTCAGTTTCAAACAGATTCACAGCTTGGAGCTGCCCCAGGGGCTGCTCTCAAAACCGCACTACAAGCAAGAGCTGCACTGGTTAAATTCAAAGCAAGGCAAGAGCTGTGCCAGCTCCTGCGTGGAGTGGAAGCACATGATTGCCTTCAGAACTCAAGGCTACCGTAACTAATTGAGCTCCCTTGTCGTATTCTCTGGAAGCATGTTAATGCTGCTATGGCCAGTCTGCACTCCAGCTGTGCAAACGCCAGCCCACGAGCCACGGACTCCCAATGAACTTCTGCCCCCGCGCCATCTGAGCAGGCCTGGGCAGCCGGGGTGCAGTCGGACTCTTGCCGTTTGCCCTCCGCGGCGTGTGGCTGAAAGGCTCTGCGGTGCACTGAGTAGCTGTGCCAGCTGCTTCTGAATGAGGGAAGGTGGGATGTTCCTATGCGAAACCCAGCTTCAAAGGGTGCAGGGTGCTCGGATCCGGGGCTAACTCCTTGGCTGCAGGGGATTTAACCCATGGGTGTGTGTAGCCGTTGCTGCCGTGCAGGGGAGCGAGTTCCCCACCCTCGAGGGGATGATGCCCCAGTGCATCGCCGGTGGAGCGTTTTACAGTGCCCAGCGAGCTGGGCCATACGTGGCTGCCCTCTGTTAAGGAAGCCTTTTCCTCCTAGGGAGGGACTGCGTGCCAGGCTGGGGTTTGGTGCCCATGGCTTCGCTTGCAAAAGGCACTACAGGAAGCTGAGCCGAGCATGTCCCTTGTGCTGAGCAGAGGGGCCGGCAGTCCCGCAGTGGGAGCTGCGCTGGGGGACAGGGGCGCCGGGCTCTTGAGCAGGCATTGCCTAAGAACCAGCCCCGTCTCGGGGCGGGGGGGAGGATAAGGCGCTCCAGAAGGACACATTCCCCTTGGTGAGCAGACTTGCGAGACACACTGCCTTACTTGTCTGCTTCCCGGTCTGGGAGAGGCCCAAGGCAAGCCACAGAGAAATGTGGGAGCGAGAGCTCGTGGGGATAGCCAAGTGCTGTGTCCAACAGCCACAGCGGGGTGTTGAGAGAGGCGGGTAAAATCATTCCCTGCCTGGACGCTGCGGGGGGCTAGGGACAGGGAGCAGCCGCTCCTTTGGGCCTGGGCTCGCCAACTCACATGCAC